ATATTAGAAAGACAGAAAATTTATCTAGTTTTAGCAAATGTCAAATCAGCAGCCATTGCTTTTAAGATTAATAAAAGATACAATGGTTTCTAGATAGCCTCTAAATAAAGATTACTATGAATGGAGAAGTGATTTACCAACAGTCACCACAATGATATTTCTTTAAAGGTTACAATCATCAGTTATTTAACTGAAACACTGCTGAGAATGCCTGGTCATTTCTTGAATAATGCATAATGTTCATTGTAGATTGGATCTGTATTATAACAATACAGATATTTCTAAAATAATGGAGAAAACTATCTGTTACCTTCCAATTGCTTAACATATCATTTCCATGAAGTAATTGACTCAGGAAACATTACACACTGTCACCTAAGTGTTCCTTCTACAAGCACAACTTGGAATAATCTATATACCATGGACATCACAAAATAAATTCATCAGCCTTCATAGACTTTCAAGAAAAGCTATGATGACTATTGGGTAGGGTAAAGGACCTTTCTGAAATACTAAATTAAATTGATGAATTCCTATTAATAGCCTGGGACAAATTTAAATTTAAGTTTTGAAATTTAATTATTAACATGAACAGCCCACTGTATTTTAAATGAAATAGTTATTTATATAACATAACTAATATATCATATATATTTCCAAGTGCCTTTAAATCTTATAAAGGAACTACTTGGATAGGAGCAAAGTATAATGTTTATCATTTTACTGTAGGATTATGAACCATATTTCACAAGATGCTATGGACATATATACATATGTACATACATACATACATACATATGTGTGTGTTCATTTATCTATAGAAACTTTTTCAATGGTAGAAAAATATAACTTAATAAGTGAAAGTCAATGTCTTTTGATGTTATTTCAAGAATATTTCATTAGTATGAGTTATATGTTTACATTTTAAAAGAACTAGTAAAGTCATAAAATGTGTGTGTGTGTGTGTGTGTGTGTGTGTGTGTGTGTGTATACACATATATATAACTAGCTAATGGGAAGTGCCTGTATTATAACTGTCAAATTTTGAAAGCCAAAAAAATAGTGTAGAATCATTAAAAATTTAAATCATTTAGAGGTTTAAACTTGATATTCTGTACTGCATTTCTCTACTTTTACATCAAATATATGTGTGTGTGTACGTCACATGAACTTAACATTTCAAATACTAATCATCATCTCTTTCCATGCTCCTATCCCCAGGTTCCTATTCCAGCTTTTCCATTTCCATCATTTTCCACCATTCAGTAGAATACGAATGCCTTGAAGTCAAAGTCCATTTCATTTTGTCCTTGTACCTCAGTGCCTAGTACAGTGGCTCTAGTGTATGCAAAATAAAGTTTTGTTACAAAGTTTATCAAATGCATTTGATAACAAAATCCAATTAGATTGTAATGTTTTCATTCTGTTTCTCTCATACTCCCTATATTAAATAATGTGTGAGTTGCATTGACTAAAGGAATACCTCAGGGAATGGATAACAACACATTTCTTGCCCATAAAGTGTTTAGAATCTAAAAGATTCTTTTCTAACAGCTCTAATTTTCATTTTGCAACAATCACCCTCTTCTTTAAATGTCTCTCTTTTTCTATTCTATATTTTCTGTCTTTTACTTCATTCTTCTTTTTAAGTCATCCATCTCAATTCCTTTTCCTTATTGTTCAATTTTTTAAAAAAAATTCCCTTAGCGTTTCACAATTCTGTCCCTACTTCCTTTCTTTGCTTTTCTCTCTGACTCTCCTGGATTCTCTTCTAGAAGATTAGACTTTTGGGGAAAAAAGACAGTAGCATTAAGCTCTCATGCTGCTACCTAATACTCAATAACAAAAAGAAAATGTTCCGCATGAATTCAAAGGATTGCCTTCTCATTCACTCAATCCCTAGTTAATGGTGACAAATGAAGTTAGGAGGCAAAAGCACAGGTTGATAATGTTTATGTAGATATGGAGTTATTGTTCTTCTGGGCCAAGCAAAGAGATCAGGTCATTGACTCCACTGACTGCCTACTCATTGCATAGGATCTGTTTAATTAGAATACATTCATGATACCAGAGGGCAAAGGCCAAAATAGCCAAGGCCTTCATTGCAATGTGCAGAAGAATGGGAGAGGACTGAAAAACTAAGTAAAGCAATGGAAAATGAAATTCTCATGATCCTATTACCTGACCAATTAGGACAACCATGAAATGAGAGTCACAGGTATATGTGGGTGGGGTTTAGCTCATCCCTCCATTACTGGCTCTATGAATGAGCTCCAGCCTTAAGTTGTTTGTCAGCTATAGTGGTACCTTGTTGTTGGTGTTGTTTAGTTCTTTCAGTCACGTCCAACTGTTGTGACCCCATTTGGGGTTTTCTTGGCAAAGATACTGGAATGGTTTGCCATTTCCTTTTCCAGCTCATCTTACAGATGAGGTAAGTAAGGCAAACAGAGTTAAGTGACTTGCCCAGGGTCACATAGCTAGTAAGTGTCTGAGGCTGGATTTGAATTCAGGTCTTCCTGACTCCAGTCCCAGAGTTCTGTCTATTGTGCCACTGAGCTGCCCCAAAACACGTAAAGTGCTTTGGAAACCTTAATTTGTTGTTGTTGTTGAGTCATGTCCAACTCTTGGTGACCTCATCTGGGGTTTTCTTGGCAAAGATACTGGAGTGGTTTGCTATTTCCTTCCTAAGTTCATTTTATAGATGAGGAAACTGAGACAAACAGAGTTAAGTGAGTTGCCCAGAGTCACATAGCTACTAAATGTCTAAGGCCAGATTTGAACTCAGGAAAATGTCTTCTTGATTCCAAGTCCAGTGCTCTATCCACTAAGCCACTTAGCCACAGTGGTACAACACTTGATTAAAACAATTTCAATCCCAGAGTCTCACAGCATTATATCTAGAAATTTGGTGAGCAGGAAGGTCTACAAAGAAACTAAATCCCTGAAATGCAACAGAATGTCTTTGGATAAAATACAAACTCTTCGGTCTGGATTTTAAGATCCCCTCACGATGTGTCTCTGACTTTCATTTCAAGACTTATTTCATACTACTCTCCTTCATGAATTTTATATTCTACATTCTACATTTGACTTTGAGATCTTTTTATTTCATACTTTATTTCCTCCTCCCATGCACTTACACAAACCACTCCCCATGTATTGAATTCATCTTTCATTTCTTTGCCTCTCAGAATTTTTAAAGTTTAATTCAGGTTCCACCTCCTCTGTGAACTCTTTTTTTTGAGCTACCATCTATCCCTTCACAGATTTCCTTGTACTATACTTATTTCTCTACATGATCTGATTCCTAGTAGAATGGAAGCTTTATTGTTTTGTAACCCTAGCAGAGATGCTTAGTAAACTGATGATGATGATGAGGAGGAGCAGGAGGAGGAGGAAGAGGAGGATGACAACCACGTCTCCACAAATAAAGCATTCAGTTCAACTGCCCATTACACTCATTGAGCTTAGCTGACCCCTAGTTTTCTAAGAAAGAAGGTATACAAAGGTACTATGTTAGAGGAAATGGGAAAGTGAATCCAATATAAAAATGCTTAGACTTAAAATTATTAAGGGGTTCTTTTAATAAGTGTATGTATAGATAGACAGACAGAGAGATAGACAGAAAGACAGACAGGTAGATATCACTCAGACCTTGATCTTGCGAAACACAAAGATAATATTTATTCAATGTCTTCTGCTCAATCTTTGAATGTCCTCACACTTTAGAACAAAATAACCTGTAACACTTTAAATTCTGGCTCTCCTCTTCTAGTAAACATAGGTAAACATAATCCATAAATACATGTCAATGTAAATATGTGAACAGACACACACATACACACATGTTATCATGCTTTACCAGGTTCAAAAAGTCTAATAAATGACCATTGCTTTCAATCTCAATCCTATATAAAAATGATAGCTTCCCACTAGTACTTTTTCCTCTAGCCAGGAGGGCAAATGAAAGCTGCTTCAGCTGCCAACACCAATGTTGCTCAATAGTTGACTATCAAGAAGCAATCAAACACATAACCAGAGATGCCCCCTCATTCCTTAGAGGTGGTTACCTGCAATAACCATCCACATGCCTATCCTTGGTCCCTCTTCACCTGGCTTTCATGTGTCAGGCTAAGGAAGACAGCAGACTACCAGCTACTAGAGATAGCCCTTTTGACCAGATTACACTCCCTTAGGGATGTAAGATCAGTAGCCAAAACACACGTTTATACTAAGTGCATTTATAAACAAGTACATTCATATGGATATGTCCATTCACTCATATCCAAAATTGCATTGCTTTGGTATCATTTGGTGCTCAAAATATATTATAAACTATTAGAACTTAATAGCAACATTAAAGAAAAGAGAAAATGCTATCATTATGTGAAAGACTAAAGGAGGGTTCAAAAATTAAATTTAAAAAATAATGAGAAATGTATCAAGGATTGGGAGGACATTTCTAGATGGTTATATATGTCAACCTTTAGGTTAACATAGTTTAATACTTATAAATAAGGCCTTTAAATTGAAATGCAGTCATTTTTGTCATACAATAAATTTATAAATCCAAAATGCCTGTTAAAACTAAGTCCTGTTCTCATCTGCTTGCACTTAGAGCTGAGAATACTAGCTCTTCCCCATTAATAAATATTTCCATACCCCACCCATCAGAATTATTTGACATGGGTTAGCATGGCACAAATTAAACACAAGAAGGACTTAAATGCAATTCATTTCATAGGCATTTCTCTGAAACCTTATAAAAATTGATAGATCACTTAGTCTGACAGTTTTTGAAAATAAAATAGAAATAGAAGAAGAGGTTTATTTCACCTTCACATGGTGTCTTTCTCATGCAGACCTCAGATTTCCACATTTGTATCCCTTTAAAGGATTTGATATGCAGGAAAAGAAGAAAGGATGATGGTAAACATTTCAATAGAGAGATTATTGTAGACTACCATATTCCAGACAGAAAAAAATACCCTAAATCATACCTTTTACTGAAGTATTGGGTGGAGGTCCTTCCATTCTCAAGTTCCATGGAGGATCTCCCTGATTTGCAAAGTCCCTCATTTTCAGATAGCTAATTGTAAGTCGGATGATGGATGCCTTGTCAAGCTGGCTGGTGATGGCTGCAGGCAGTGGCAGCAACTTCGCCAATTCATAGAACTCAAAATTCTCCTTTCCCCGACGGGAGCGAGCAGCATCTCGGGACTTTTCCTTTCTCAAGGCTTGTAAACTGCAATCAGATAAAAATGGAGAGTAGTGGTTAGTAACCCTAGAACTATCTTTCATTCAGAATCAACTTGCTTTCTTATTTCAATGTTTCTTCAATAATATCCATCAATATCTTTCTCATATGCTCAGGACATAATAAGATGAGTTTCATGAAAATTCTTATTTATACAATGACCATGACAATTCTGTGATGCTTTAATGGCTAAGCTAGTGAAATAACTGACACTGTTGTTGTTTACAAGGTTTTTACATATTCCATTGATTGTTACATATACATACACATATACCCATAGTTTGTATACGATTTGGCTGACGTTAATCAGCTCTCAGCTAATTAGGAAATTGTGCCCGCTTTGACACTTCTGTTCTCAACTTAATGAATTGTTCATTGAACTGTCTTCATTAGATGCTTTCATTGAAGGAGAAAAGGGGAAAGGAAAAATAGAATAGGGGAAGGAAAAGATTGGCCTGGCAGTATTCAGGGAGTTGGAACTTACTCAACTTTTTACATGGCAGTACTCTATAAAAATGTTCACAGTGGAAACAAAATGTTTTCACAACTCTGTCAATTTTAAAGTATATCTCACTATAGATGCCAAAAACGAGTTTGGCTGAACATTTATAGAATTAAGTAATTCCATAGCTGCTACAGGCAGATAGATACTAGACTGATGGAAGTTTCTAAATACAGAATCCAATTTTGTTTTTACATAATTATTTTTAAAATTCCAAATTATCTAACTAACATTCCTCATCTGAACTAGTCATATTAAATGTTTTAGTTTTCAGGGCAACATTTTAATTTGACAATTACTTTTCCTTTGAAATTGTGCCAGTTGAAGAGGCATATGTTAGCTCCCAAGAAAACAAAAATGTAAGGCTTGTAAAATAACTTATTGTCCAGAGGTTAAATTAACCAGTATATACTGAGAAGTACTGTTGTTTTTTTTGTTTGGTTTTGTTTTGGTTTTGTTTTTTTTAACATATCAGAACTAAGTAAAAAAGTAGTTAATGGCTTCAAAAATCTTGCTTTTAAAATAGGGGTAAGTTCAGTTACCAGGGTTCAGATTAAATACTCAGAACCAAAGAATCATTCAGTTCCCATTTTTATTCACTATAAAACTTATCATTTGGGCCAATATATATATATATATATATATATATATCTCACCAGGGTTCTTTTGTCATTTTATCTAACTACAGTAAGAAAGAGAACATAAGGTATACTAATAAAAGTGAATTGTAGCAGTGTCTATAATATTAATGTGGCAATATTTACATTAAAAATAAAATTAGAGGGTCAATGGGATAGTTAAATGATGCAATTTTCATTTAAAAAAATAAGTCAGTCAGTGTGGTGGTAAACTGAGTTTTGTAGGTTTCATGAAGGCTGCCTGAAGTCTTCCCATTTCATCAGTGTAAAAGGGTCACTTTTTAAATGTGCAGTATTAATTTAAGAAATAAAACGCTTCTTCTTATAGGGAGGAGCAGTTGTTAAAGTATTTTTAAAACTTAATTGCAAAATTAGCCTCTATGTATTATAACTTCATCTGAGGTACTCAAATGGCTATATATATAGTGTATATGTGCATGGATGTATAAACACAAAACGTATATCCATGTATATGTATGTATATACATGTGTGTATATGGATATGCGTATGTATGTATATGCACATACCTATTAAACATTACACAGTTCTCTCGGTAAAAATATTTTTGCCCTTATCTTTATTAATAAATTGAAACAATACTGTCTTGGCCATAAAGTCTGTGCCAAATTTATTATAACTGCACGGCACAAGATTGAAAGGGAAAAACCATAAGAACTCTGAGCTCTAGGGAGGTTAACAGATATAGCCATAGCTACTTAATGAAAATGATAAAGTAGAAATTCTCACTAGCATCTCCTGACACTTAGCCAATGACTTCCCCCTTGGCCCACACTTCCCTTTTTATATTACTATACAAAATATCTAGGATGTTTACTTTTCAGATTCCTAGTTTGTTTTTTTTTTCCCTATTGTCACTATGTGACCCTTCAGGAGTGAGTGATCTTCTTGGCCACAAGTTGAATAAGACAGGGTTTCCATGAGTCCTATATCATATAATTATGCAGGGACTAAAGGGTCCAGCTGACTCTCAAAATTATAGCAAAGTATTTACAATAAGTAGTGATTAGTTTTGAGGGCAATTGTAATAAAAGACGACCAAAGAGACATACAGGTTGTTGAGATGGCGATCTAATAGCAGAAGTTGAACATAATGCCACAGCTTGGCGAGTAATATATTGACCACTTTTATGAAGCAGGACCTGATTTTTTCAAGCAGTGCACTATTAGTGTTGAGGAATGCATTAAAAACTAAAATTGTCTCTGCCTTTGTAGACTTTGTCATCAAGGAAATGTGTTATCAGCTGTAGAGCACTTAAAATAAATTTAAAAATTTAGATGAGTTGTAACAGTGCCTGTTTCTGTTACTGGAAACATCATAGCACTTTGCAGCCACAATAATTTCTTCTCTGGACTCCATCTTCCCCTCTACTAATGTCCATCCACTTATGTTCTAAATGGTAGTGAAAACTATTCCTCAATATTAGGCAAGGAGAAAACGGTATTTAATTTATCACAGACTATCAACAACATCTCCCCATGAAAACTATCAGAAGAAGTCATAAATCAACTTGAAAAAAGACTTGATAAAAGTCTGGTGTTTTCTATAATTGCCATAGACACAACACCTTACACCTCACTTTGTATCATCCGTGGTATTCATTGGGTGCCACCTATGTGCACAAAATTGCCCTAAAGTATCCAAGAGGAATGAAAACTGGACAAAGTAGAAGGAGGATGCTATATGCATCCAGAGAAAGAACTGATAAATAGAAGTATGTATAGAATGATTTTACATATATCTGTATATATGTATACATATACACACACGTATATTATATATATACATATATTTATATGTAATATCCACACACACACACACATACATACATACATATTTGTGTCTAATGGTAGCCATCTCTAGTTTGGAGGGCAGAAAAAAGAAAAACATTACATGATAAATTTGTTATATATTTAAAAGAAATAACAACTTGTACATAATAGATTCACAGGTTCATTTGCAATCATCTCTCTTTTTTAGTCTACTACGTTATGGAAATGCTTGTTTTATTTCATAAATTAAAAATAAAACAAATATTTTTTTTTAAAAAATCAAGCACTGTCATTCAGTATTTGGTTCACAGTATCACTCAATTAAAAAAGAAAAATTAAAACTTTGAGCTTTTTCAGGATGAATCTAGGATACATGGCATGACAGGCAAGATCATTAAAGGATTGGTTGTTTGCATTTTTGTCAATAAGAATATAACATGCCCTGGGTTTTGAGGATAATACTTGATGGTAGTGGCTAAATTTCCAACTTTACCACCATACTCAAACATGAGGCTCAAAAAATAAAACAACATGGATTTATTGAGTACCTGCTATGCTATATGCCAGGTCCTGTGGTAAGACAAACATGAAATAGTCCCCTCCCTCAAGAAACCTCCATCTCATTGAAATGCACTGTATTTAGTTCTCTTCTAAGTTCTATTACCAAAAGAATTTAGAGAGAATTTCATTATTTAATTCTAATTTTACAATTATTTACTTGTAAGCCCCTCCATCCACATGAGGCGCTTTGTTAGGCACTAACCAAACAAAGACAAATATGAAAGAATACTTGTTACCAAGGAAATTCCATCCTGCTGAAGATATATCATGTATAAAAATAAAAAAATAAATTTCAAGTAAATATAAGGTAAAAATAAAATAATTTTGGGAAGCAATAATAGCTGGGAACATCAGAAAAGTTCTCATGTAGGAAGTGCCACTTTGTTCTTGTTGCTGGTGGTCCTTCATTTTAGAAGGGGACCAATAATATCATAGGGTGATGTCTTGACTTGTGCATGAATTGGATTTAAGTGAGGCAGAGACACACTAAATCATCAGCCTCACTTTCTCTTCCACAGTCATTGAAGTCCAATGGCAAGACAAAAATCAATACGACTGGTGATGACCCAGGATGAGAAGGTCTGGGCAAGGGTCTGAAAGAACCTAGGAACTCTCAGAGGCAGAAGAGATGCCGTAAAACATCCCAGGAATGGTATCAAATAAAGATATGACAAATATTTAGGAAATAGTTATTTTTAGACAATGAAAGTAGGCCTGCCTTACAATATCACTAATTCAATTCACTTCAACTCAAGAAACAATTACTAACATATTGCCATGTTAACCATACTGGGCTGTATCTAGACAAAGATATGACTAACACAACTAACAGCTAATTTCTGATTGTAAGAAGGTTATAGTTGACTAAAGGGGTTATAATATATACATAAATAAAATGATAAAAAAAGAGTGTAAACCAACAAATGAAAAATCCTGACAATGAGGTATTAGGAAGTTCAGCATAGAAGAAAATACTCTTGACTGGGGAAGTCATGAAAGTCTTCATAGAATAGAACGAAGCAAAGCAAAACCTTCACAGGTCACAAATTTGGTACTGTAAAGGACCCTAGAGGCAATCTAGCTCAATGAGTTCATTTAAAAGATGAGAAGATAGGGGCAGCTAGGTGGAGCAGTGGATAGAGCACTGGCCTGAAGTCAGGAGTACCTGGGTTCAAATCCAGCCTGAGACTAAACACTTGACACTTACTAGCTATGTGACCCTGGGCAAGTCACTTAACCCCAACTGCCTAAAATTAAAAAAAAATTTTAAAAAGATGAGGAAATGGAAGGATGGAAGCGCAGACAAATTAAATGGCTTTGCCGAGATTATACAGGTAGTAAATGGCACAGGAAGAATTTGAACCCAGATCCGTGTGCTCTAAATTCTGCACTCTTTCCACTACATATTACTTTCTACCTTTCAGGAAGAAAAGAATTTTAACAGCCAGACACAAAATGTACGGAGGAAAAAATAGTCAAGAGACAACAGAAGGAG